CCTGTTTGATTATTCAATATTAAACACCTTTGCGATCCGTAAAAATTAAGTAGATTATTTCCTCCTTTTCACTCCGGCACATTTGGCAGCCGCTGTAGTATCATGAATGGCCTTTGCTGATAGCCCACTTTGTTAATAGGCTGGTGTGGTGAACGATGATTATGTGTCGACTGGAGATAATGGGAGCTCATTCGCAGTAGATTATAGCAAATGAAAGCCCGTTGATCTTACAGTGGACCTGAGGTCGTGCGTGACACGCTGTACCAAGCAGCTCGGCTTAACACCTGCTTTTCCCAGGGAGAGCGCTACTGTCTCCGGGGTGAAAGGATCCTGTCATAAAACGGGCTGAGTGTGTGTGCGAGCGTGGGCGTGTGCGCATGATGGACGTTGGTGTGTGTGTGTGTGTGTGTGTGTAGACTCTCTTTTAAGGGAAGTGGCTTTTATCCTGTGTCCGTTCAGCGCGGCCACTTGGTCCGAGAGCCGTGAAAGGGACACTATTCCCCCCCCGGCGGCAGACAGAGAACCCCTTCAGCACACCGGAGGGACACTAGAGAGAGAGACCCTCTGTGTCTGCATGTGAACCGAGGGGAGAGAGATGGCCATTGACCCTACAGAAGGCGACGGAAATGGAGAAAGGCCAAACATGTGTTAATCTGCCTCTCATAATATTAGTGATCTAAATATGCTAATCTAACCGTCTGAGCGGAGACTCGCAACCAGCAGCTGTACTTACTGGATGTAGACGTGGGCAGGAAGTGAAACACCTCCTCATTGTTTGCAAAAGTAGCTTGGTTATGCATGAATTTTGTGACAGTTTCACAAGCACGGCCGTGTGTTTATTTAGATCTGGTCCCCAGTTGTCCTGGCAGGTAGAGGTTTTATTAGCAGAAAGCGGTCCAAGCATGTCGGACTCCCGTGGCTATAAATGTAGCTGAGCATGTCGGCCTTGTCTGTCCTCTTCTTCGGTGGTCATGTACCTCATGAGAGAACAACTCATCAGTTCAGATGTCATTTTGTTGTGTTTGGAGTTCCGAGCTTGAGCAGCTTCTTGGTGGCTTTGTCATACCAGTGAATTGTGTAATCAGTTCATTTTATTGGGAACTCAGTGACAGGATGTCTTGTAGAACAGGAAATGGTCTCATTATTTTTCTTTGAAATTATTGTTGGGTAATTGTGCCTCCAGACTAACGGAGCTTCCTTTTTGTGCCAGTTTCGTTATGAGCAAAACAACCAACGCACAATCCACAGGTTGGTGCCAAAGCTTGGTTTACAGTCATACAGTACATATCCATGGCAGAGGATTCAATCTGTAATGAAGCGTAGACGTCATCTGTTGACGACGTCACCACAACACTAGACGCGTGCATCATATGCAATCAATAACAGTTTCTTTCCGTTCTTTAATTTGTGATATGTTTTGGAGAGGTGAGCTACACTCACAGAGGTGGTGCTCCATTTCGGTAATCGCTGTAAAGCTCCTGTGTTTTTTTTTATTCAGTGTAAGAGAGCAAGACGATTGTGAGGTTTGTCTTCACTGGATGTGTGTTACTGAAAAACAGGACATTAACAGTCTCCTTCAGTGTTAGAAACTTGCAGGAGGAAACACTGCAACTGCTCTTTCAGTGAATCTGTCTCATAAACGTCACTCAAACGTATATGCCAGACTTTAACTCCTTTAAATCAATTCCGAGCATTTACTGGCAAACGCATGTGTGCCTGTTCTGTATATTCTCACTGGTAGCCTCGCTGCGTGTGGTCACTGAAGGCCCTTGCTGATCTCAAACAGACCCTTTGCTGCTTCCTCCACTCTGCTCTCTGGATAGGATCCTCAGCGCTACTGTTGCAGAGCCCCGGGGCGAGACGCCAGCCGACCCACCACAACATAACAATGCAAGGCAGAGCTCTGTGGCTCCGGGCCCAGTGTCCCCCCACTGTCTCTGCGCTGCTGACCTCACATATTTTATGGGGTCTTAGGCGTTCAGTGGGCTGTCACGGCTCATTAGTAGCTTTAGAAATGAACTTGCACAGCAGACTCTCTTAGTGATTAATAAACATGGACAGAGAGAGAAAGCGAGACGGATAGGAATGGCTAGGGCGAAAGTTCACAGATGGGACCACATTCTAAGAAGTTTATAGAGGCCTATAAATACACTTGTTGGCACACATGCATTGTACATATACTGTATACCAATACTTCTCCTTCTCTTGATTGGGATCGGCTTATTGTTCTGAGACTTTTCCACACTGACAGAACTAAAATTCCAGTTATATCCCTCATGTGTATACGTTTATTTTGCTTGCATTTACTCCATAGTTTTTATCTAACCATCCTTTACCCCCTCCCCAATCCAGTTGACAGTCTTAATGGCCTACCAGAGGTTATTTATAGGTTGCTGGACTGTGCCCCGTGGCCGAACATGCTGCATACCAGACACAACTGATGAACTCTGGAGATTGTTGGTGAACAGCATGAGAGAAACCGCCCTGCTGCTGCTGCTCTAAAGGGTGGCGCTGGTGTTTGTATTGCTACCATACACTTCCACGGCAAAGGCCAAATGTAGTGGACGTGAACTGAAAGCGCACTCTGAGCATACTACTCACACTTAAATGGATGATGATAGAAAAAGTCTCAGTCAGACCACTAAGAGCGGTCATTTATTTGATGGATGAAGTGAAAATGTTGCGAGGTCTTACATGTCAAGCGAAGTATCTCAGATTATTGGACTTCCCCTCTTGTCTTTTTTATCAACTACAGCTGTGTTTCTCATGCCTCTGTCCTTCCCCTTCCATCTCCACTTTGTCCCACACCACAGTCATCCAGTCTGATCTCATGGTACTTCGTAGGAAGGCCATCATTTCTGCTTGTTAAGAGGAAGTTCCCATGGCGATGGGGTCGCCGTAGGGCTATAAATATGTCGACCGCATCATGTTGGCCGGTCAAAGAGCAGGTGAGGACGCCTGCTTGGAGGAGCAGTGAGAATTTGTCTTGGATTGTTCCCAGGCTCTGTTACTGGCTGGATGAGGCCAAAGATGTTTTGTTGTTAGCCCCCGGTTGGCATGGTAACGGTTGTAGTTGGTTGTAACTGAACTAAATCTACTGAATTTAGGTTGATTTGCTCGAGACCGTGTCAAACTATCTCATTCCAATAATCTATAGAACAAAATGAATCTCTCTCACAGCATGGCTCAGTCTTCTTAAAGTAATTTCACTTTAGATTTCAGACTTCTGCTTCTTGAATGTGAATATTTTCGAGATTCTTTCCTCTATGACTGAATACCCTTGGGTTATCAACAAAACAAGATATCTGAGGACGCCATCTTGGGTTATGGGAAAAAGTAACCAAACTTTTTCACCATTTTGTATACCAACACATAATTATGATTTGTTGCATAATCAGACCATTCTCCAGCACTGATACAGCGCTGCGTAGAGTAGTCTGGCTGCACCTCGTTGTGGTAAAAGAGAAAAATTTCTCTGGCCTGTGTCCATTTCTTTAAACCAATCACCACTGCAGAACTAAACAATAGTGTCCCCTCATGATCGTGATGGGGAAATAGTTTCAGTGGAATATTTGGGAGGTGAGCACTGCCATTAAAATGAATAAAACCTCAAATTGTCAGCGTGCAAGCTGCTGTCTGGTGGTGGGTTCATGCAGAAAATGGGATTTTCAAAAGGTAACACATCCATAGTGGAAAGAGATGTGAGCATATTCTCATTACATTTACTAATGGAAATGCCAATCCTTGTTGAGGTTGGTGTGGTCCAACATTTATTGCAATAATTATCAAGATATTTTGGTAAAAATGTACAATTCCAACGCTCCATTGGTGCTAAATGAAATGTCGGAATCACCAAAACTGCCTGATCAACCAACCAACCATCCAAACCACCAACACTGCCCTGATTGCTATTCTTAAACAGCCTTGTGTGACTAGAATGAACTCGCATGTGACAGCCGTAGCAGATTCGTCTCAATAAAACATGAGGTTTGTTTTATATATATATTTCATAAAGAGTGTTCCTCTCTTGTCTCGGAGGACTGTGTGAATTTTCAGCCCTGTTTAACAGACTGCACCGGCCACTCCTCTTCTGATTTGCGCGCACACGCAGCCCACAGCGAAACTCAAGTCTTCTGACAGTGGGCGTGGAGGTTATTTCTTATTATACTTCTTATTCTGCTCATGAATAAGTAAAGAGGAGGTCTGAGACACACTCACCCACTTACCAGACACATGCACCTGCTCCTGGATGGCCGCTGGTTATCCACACACACACACACACACACACACATCCACACATCCACACCCACTGCCAGAGATTCCCGGTCTCCTCCTTTTTCAGCCCCCATCGTCTTTGTCCTGATTGCAGCCCCAGGGGGTAGACAGTTAGGTGAGATGGCACTGCATGTCTAATGTCTCTGCAATCTATTCACACTTCAAAGTAATGCTGCACAATATTGCATTTTTTCCCCCTAATATCACACTCTTACGGGGAGAGAGATTTTCTTTCGCCGGTATTATGCGGAGCGTTGGTGCGCGAGTAATACTTGGCAGCGCTCAGTTTCAGTGTCCTCCGTTGTCCCCCAGTTTAAGGTTTGCTCCACGCACAATAGCGCACCGGAGTTACTTATTTATTTCTGTGTGACCTTTCTCGGTGAGGTCAGTAAAAGGTCTGAGGAACCTGTTCAAATATTTAAGAGGTTTTATCTCTAATGCGAAGGCTCTCAGTGTCCACAAACCACTTTCCTCAGAGGTGTTGAGTGATGGTCGTGGAAATGGGAAATGAGAAATGTTTTGAATGCCCCGGCTGTAAGGGATACCTGTTTCCGTTCCAATCGACACATTCTACGTAGCGGGGAAGTTCTAAACACCGTTAATCACACACTGGGCGCCGTGACACTTTTGAAGAATGGCGTAATCAGAGAGTCATCTTGAAACTTGCCTGTCTGTCTCTGAGTCATGAATCAGTCTCTCACTCTGTCGCTCTTCCTTGTGTGCAGGTTATTTGTGTTGCTGCTGTTCAAAGACAGAGAGGAAAGGACTGGGATATGATTCCAGGTGACAAAGCGAAGGAAGTCTTCAGCTCAACAGAGAACATAAATGGTGAGACTCTATTCCCAGATGGGTTTTTTTTAACCTTGCAAATGGCATTTAAAGGATAGCATTGGCATTAATAACATTTTTTTCATAAATTAGGCAAATTTTATTGAAAGACTAAAATCAACAGTGTGTCAGTGTGACACTCATTACTTTCTGACTGCCTCATTCTGTCTGTTTCTGTCAGGCTCAAAGCCATTTGTTCTGTCTACTGACAAAAATCTTGAAAAATTAATGACTTTCGCTGATGTAGTTTTTAGGAAATGCCACAGTGTAAATGAGAAGACTGATCCAAAATAAACTACAGAGCCCAAAAACAATGAGCTATATCAGACTGTGGACACACAGATGGTACTTACCAGTAGGATCAATTTATTGTTGTTTTTAGTCTTTTAACCTTCTGAACCCCAAAACCTACTTGTGGATTTGACTCGCATGTTATTTTTATTAAATAGCCAAAATTACACTAATTCTCGGAGCGTCAAACCAAATCTAAGCTTAAAATTGTGATAGCCATTAAAAAAAAATCACCTTTTTCTATGTGTCTTGCTAAAAAATTGCCCTAAAAAAGCATTTGGACTGAGTGAATTCTTTAAAAAACTAAAAAGTCTGCGCTCCCCATTGCAACTGGGAATCCATTAGCTCCATTAGTGACTCAGCTGCAACCAACAGTTACATGAGAAAAACTCAGGAAGTTATCAGTTGAACCACAAGCTGGGTTCACACAGAGCAGATTGCACAAGAATGGAAATAAACTAAAAATAAAGGCAAATGTTTTATAGGTTGACTCCAGGTTTAGTCATTTTTTGTGAAATAAATAATCAAAGAGATCCAACTTTAGGTTTATTTTCTTCCTCTTTTATGTTTTATGGCATTATAACTTTGTTATGCTGCACAAAAGACCATTTTGAGTTTTCTCTAATGTGCTGTTTCAGTAGATGACTTTATATTGTAGTGAAAAATAACTACATAGTAAGTAAAAATATAATAGGAGCAGAAATTGCCCATAAAGTGCTTGCGGTTTAGAGGGTAAATGTATTTGCTGTCAGAGGAAAGATAGAAACAATTACCAGAGCTGTCCTTTAAAAAGACAAAAATGTCAAATGTGGTTATAATAATAGGAGCTTACAAGAAAAAAAAAAGGAGCATTTTCTTGCTTCCTTAAGTTCTCAACATTATTCTCAGCTCAGATCTAAGCTCTCTAAAACTCTTAAACTTGGACTGTGCTCAACTATATGGAAGCGGATTTTAGCTTTTAAATGTTGATGTTTAACCTCAAACATCTGCTTGTGTAGGCAGAGGCCTTATAGACAAGTCTTACTACTCTGCACCCATCTTGGTAACACCCACAAGCAGTTATTTTGAGCTAACAACACCAGGCCTTATCTCTATGACTGGGGAGAGAAGCAGAACTGCAGTTCCACTGGTCACTGGGACATAAAACTGCAAGAATAGAATCAGCAAAAGAACTAAAAACTGCTTTAATAGTTTTGTTTTAAAAAGCATTTTTCTCCACAGGTATACTTTTACTAAGCATGCACACAGATTCATGACACTACGTTTGCATCAGTGCAACAACATGATGAGCTAGATGTTTCCTTCTGTGGCTGTTACAAAGCAGATAATTGGCTTTTTGCTGAGAATTATGGAATTTTCCCATCAGTTTCTAATCAGGATCTTTTAAATGGCAAATCTTCCACCTATAACTTCTCTGGTGCAGGTCTCTAACCTTGTTTGTTTCTCTTCAGAGTATTTGCCATGCTACATGGGAAGGCTCTAAACTCCACCCTGGTCTTGCTCCTCATCCTCACCTTTGCCACTGCCCACGGTCGCTCCTACCCACGCTTTTCACGTAATGACACTGATTTCCAGCACCTTGTGCTTCACCCGGACCCCTCTGTGGGGACGGTGTACGTGGGGGCCAGGAACCACCTCTTCCAGTTGGATGGATCAGATGGACTTCGGCTGGAGCAAGAGGAGGCGACCGGTCCGGTGAGCGACAGCAAAGACTGCCTTCCACCTGTCAATGAGGCCAACTGTCCCCAGGCCAGAAGAACCAGTAACCACAACAAATTACTGCTGGTGGATCCAGCAGCGTTGGAGTTGATCACCTGTGGCAGCGTGCACCAGGGCACATGCCAGAAACGCAGCTTGGCATCGATCAAAAAGGTTCTCTTCTCCACTGAGAGGCCCGTGGATACACAGTATGTTGCAGCCAATGATCCATCAGTGTCAACTGTGGGGCTGGTGGTTGGGCTTCATGGCGGGAAAAGAACTGTGATGTATGTGGGTCGGGGGTATACTGCCAGCCACCCGCCCATCTCCACTCGCCACCTTTCATCAGAACCCATCTTTTCCTACGAGGAGACAGCTAAGCTAGCTGTGGCTGGGCGTCTGTCGGAATATGACCATCATTTTGTGACAGCGTTCACACGGCGCTCGTACGTGTACTTCTTGTTTTACCGTCGTGACATCAAGTCAGTATCGAGGGAGTACCGGACCTATGCCGCCCGAGTCTGCCTGGAGGACACCTCCTACTATTCATATGTGGAAATTCCTCTTGTCTGCCGATCAAAATCCTCTCCTTCCAGGACTTATAATCTTCTCCAGGCAGCCCAGGTACTAATGTGTGTTGAGTCAAAACATTGTGACCACCCCTGCATAATTTTGTGTTGATCCTTCTCGTGCCACTATAGCAGAACCAACCAGGCAAGGCATAAACTGTGCAAGATCTCTGAAGGTGCCCTGTGGTGTCTGGCACTAAAATGTTAGCGGTAAATCCGAGTTCTATCATTTGTTAAGGGTAGCCACCACAAATCAGACTTGTTCCAACATATCCATCCAGTTACTGCTAAAGGGTTGCCTCACCACTGTCACCAATGACCAGGTTCACCCTACAAGCCTTGCCATTTTGGAGCCAGCCATTTAGCCATGATGATTTGGCTCTTTGCCATTTCTCCTGCATTTACACCCTGAGAATCGAGTGCTTGGTCACCATCTAGTATATCCAGGACATGCAGTATTATTGCAAGCTAGTCAATGTTATTAGCTTCATCTTTAATTGGTCATAATTTTTTTTTTTGGCTCATTTGTGTATATTTTACCAAATTACTTCATGGTATAAATAAATAGAAAAATTGAGGTCTGCATAGCAACAGCTCAAAATATTGATGGATTTCTTTCTCACTTCAGGGGCATTAGTTAGCATGAGTAAGTCTCAAATCTGGCTTGCATCAATGAGTTTTCATCAAGCTTACACTGTGTTTAACTTCCCGTGTTTTCCCCCCACGCCTTTGTTGCAACAGGTGGGACAAGGTGCAGGCCTGCAAGGCGAGGATCTGCTGGGAGTCTTCTCCACCCGCATCAGTTCCACAAACAACAACCCCACAGATGCCTCGGCTCTGTGCGTTTTCCCTCTGGATGAGCTAGACAGACACATCGACTCCACCCGTGACCTCTGTTACACCCAAGATGGGCGGGTGGAGGGAAGAGGAGAAGTGGCCTATATAGAGTATGAGGTCAAGTCCAGCTGTGCCAACCTGCCCCTGGTAAGGATACAGGAGATGGAAGCAAGGGGAGGCGGTAAATGTTTTGGGGATAAAACGTCAACCTGGCGTTGAGGCTGTTTTTCCCTCCGGAATAAGAAAAGCATTTGAATCTGTCAATTACAGACCAATAGGAGCCTTTCGAAGGACTCTTTCTCCCAGAGAGGATTATGTTCTCTGCTTTGCAGTGCTCTGTGCTTGTTATAGCTTTGATACAGGCCTTATGGCAGATACATTAAAGCTATATATCATTAGGCCTTGTTCCTTGATGTCTACCTGTACATCAAGTACATCAAGTATATTGACTCGGTTGACTTAAGTGTTCTGAGGAAGTCAAAACAGATATATCGTACAGCCAGCAACAAGGATTGACCAGAATGGCAAAATTAAGCTGAGCAACAGGAAGAGGTATTGGCTGTAGATAATGGATGGATGGAAGTCTAGTAATGAGGCCCTTGTTTAGAAGCCCTGAGCTCCCAGATGCTCAAGGAATAGCTTTGCCCAGCTGCAGCCATCCAAGGATCCCCTCCGCTGCCCTGCTGCCAGCCCTCAGAACCGTTTAATGGGATCGTTAGGGATCAATAAACCAAACTAACCCTGAATCATCTGTGCTGCTGCTTAATGAGCTCTGACAAGGAAGGATAGGAGCTCCTTTGAAACCTACGGAAATAGGAGGACAGAGAGTGAGTGAGAGAAAGGGGGAGGATGCAGAAAATATGGGAGTAGAAAGACTGCAGCACCAAGAGCGACAGGGAGAAAGACGAGTCTAGGGGAAGAAAATGAGACAGAAAGAAAAGAGATGAATGAAGGAAGAGGAAGATGCATTAGATCACAGTTCCCTGCCAACAGCGATAAGCCATCTTATTTTCTTAATAAACAAACTCTGAGTGGGCTAAAAAAAGACGTTCCATTCTACCTCCTCCTTCAGGGCCAATTATCTAGAGCCAGAGCTTGGAGACTAACTGCAAAGCAGGATTTGGAGTGGTTGCTTTGCAAAACCAAAAGAGCGAGTTGGTTGCCTCTGACTGAGTCCGCTTTAATCTATGGTGCAATCCTCTTACGATGAATTAAGAGGATTCAAAGGCTCTGAGGCAACAGTAGGAACATGAACTTGTTTGTGTGAAGCTTTAAGGTTTTTTGGCACAAGTTAAATTAAAAACAGAAAAAAAAAAACAATCATGTGGAATGTGATGAACATAAACCAGTGAATGTCCCAAAATGACAGCAGTAAACCACTGGTAGAGTGTTTTTTAAGGACAAACCAAACTTTCTGTCCCACCATATGTTGTAGAACACCCTGAAGGCCTATCCCTGCGGCTCTGACCACACCCCAAGTCCAATGGCAAGCCGGGCACCGCTGGAAGCTAAAGCAGCGTGGCACACTTCAGCCGCCCGTCTCACTGCTGTGGCCGTCAGTGTCAGAGAGGGACACAGCATCGCCTTCCTGGGAGATTCCAAAGGAACTCTCCACAAGGTACTTTTTCGTCTTTTGCATGCTTTCATTTTCAGTTTCTGTTGGAGATCCTCCCCAACAGGCGCCTAGTGGAAGGCAGGCAGACACCCCCTGACTCATCACCAGTAGCATGGAAATATTTAGACCATTAGGTAATTACTTATGAAGCCAGCGTTGTAATTTTCCATTCACAGCAGTCACACAAGCGTTAAGGCTTAACTAATACTGTGTCCATCCAGCCCTGCCCTTTGCGGTTTTTACTGCCTGCTTGTCTATGAATCAGATCCCAGCAAAGTAAACACACCTTACACCACATAAAACATTTGAATCCGCTTTCAGGGATGTTTTTTTGTCCAAGTCTATGCCAGCACCCATATACTTTTGCACTATTATGCGACTCCAGCCTGAAAGATTCTCGTCATTCCTACACTTACAACGTTCCAACATACACAGACTAGCATACCACTGTGATCCCATGCTTAATGCTTTTGCTTTTTGTTCTGCGGGACCGCGGAGTGTGATTGTTGGACACTTGATACATTTTTGAGCTAATGTTTTAAAGCCGTGTGACGTTTTCTTTTTGATGGAATGTGTAGCCCAGAATAGCTTTTTGATTGGAGTCTCACCTTGTTTGTCGAGGTCTGAGAGCTGCTTTTTTTTTTTTTTGCACTGCAGCCCAAAAAACTGAAGCGTAGCACCACCTTTTGAACAACATCTGCATAGATGAGATAGTTACATGAAGGGATCAAGATAAGCGGATTGTAGACATAACTCTGCTGTGAGGTATTTGTCTACCAGGTCTGCTTTGCTGTGTGTCTGTGTGAAACAGTGAGCGTGAGACATAGAGCCAGACTTAGTGCTATTAGGTAGCAGATCAAAGCGGCACTCCATGTAGCCATGTGAAGTAAGCTATTGTAACTGGATTATCGTATCACAGCAGGACAAATTCCACAGCATCCAGATACAGGAATCTATATATGTGTGTGTACGTGTGTGTGTTGCAGTTACAGGCAAAAGGTGCCGATTGCTGACCCATTTTAATATTATAGTTGTATACATGCAATAGATGGTATAAAACTAGTGTCACCAACTTAATCTTTATCAGATGTAGTCAGCAAGATCTTCATAGCATCAATAGAGTTAAAGGAACAGGTCAACCTCTTTTTTAAGAAAAAAATGCTTTCTTGCTTTCTTGCCAAAACTCAGATGAGAACATCGATGCCACTCTCACGTTGGCACAATAACTGTGTGGAGCCAGAGATGTCTGAATACCATTCCAGCTTTACTACCATCACTTACGCTTAACTTAACTTGTTTCGAGCTTAATTTCTAAGTGCTGATAAAAGTTTGATGCGGTCCCAGTAAGTGTTGCACTGAAGAATTTAAATACTGCTGTGAGCTTTCTTTCGGATGCTGTTTTGCAGATGAACTCGTTGCGGTTCAGGTAGCACAACTTTTTTTTTTTACCCATACAGCTACAGTCTCACCTCCTGTCTCCCACATTCACATGTGAAGGAGGGATGGATGACTGACAACTAAGAAGTTTTACTGATGAGTCTCATGTTATGTGTTGCATTTGAGGCTGGAATATTCAGTCACAATAATGATGTTAACAAATACATTAGCGATTTAGTGATTTCCCTCCAGTTGTGATCTTGACAAGTCTTGAATAAAATCTGGAGTCCTCTTTGTCTGAGACTGAAACAAGACTGAGGACAAATATGATCAATTTAGAGAACTTCAAAAACTGCTTTTAGAATTAACTAATCTTGATTGTTACTAAACTGTCATTTGCTCAAGTTCTGAAATGATATTTACTGAGCTTCACTTTGGCTTTTGAAGAGGAAAATGTTGGCTTAGCTAATCGCCTCCTGGCTTTGGCTACAAAGCCAGCACAGAAACGTGAGACAGACATAAGTCATAAAACGTTTTATTTAACTCTTGGCCCAAAAAAGTGAATGAACGAGTTTTCCCAAAATGAGCAAGTACTCCTTTAGGATTAGGATAAGTATGCAGGGACTTAATCTACTACAAATGAATAACGGCATATCTGTCAACCTGATCTTAACCTCCCACACACTTGTTAAACAGGTGTTATTATTATATGGAGAATAAGTGCTTGCGGTATATATATATATGGATAAAAACAAACAAGATCTTGAAGGTATAGGTTCAGGTCCAGAAGCAACACTTGTATGCCCATTTGTCCATTCAAACAGGTTCTGGCTGCTGTAATTGCCCCCCCTCAAGATTGCAACACATTTTGCACACTACCAGGGCTGTGGATGTCGGCTTTCATCTCTTACAGTGAAATCACTTCACTATAGGATCTCTTCTAGGCAATATGAACGGGAGGAATAATATTAGTAACGCTTTCAGTATTCATGTGGGCATGTAAGTGTGACGATAGATTTTAAAAAATACTAAACATGACATGCAAAACAACACACACTGCATAAATATCCCTGAGCATTACGGAGCAACTTCCCATGCCATTATGTGTTGAGTGCATCCTCTTAATGGGGCAGACAAGTGATTCTCCGTTCTGTTCGCAGTGATCTCATTAACATGAGGTAACATGAGAGTTTGAAGGCCTGGGAATCACTTAAGCCAGAGGTGTCGTTCTGCGCTTCATATTAGATTTGACTGTTCGGTAATCTGATTCACGGCCACTTCTGCTGCGATCCAGCGCAAGTCTGATTTGATTTGTGTTTGAGTTGTAAGCTGAAGAAGGTATTCCTTTTCCGTAATTATTTATTTTTTTTGTCAGCTTCGCATTTTAGTCCTGCAGTGTAAGAAATATATCCCTTTTAAAAATGTCCATCCTTCCTGTTCTGGAAATACAAATCAAACGGTTGGGATACTTGTCATATATTGCACAATTTCTGAAGTATTTTCTGTTTTATTTTTTTGTAATTATCCAGGTATATCTCGGCCAAGACGGCATGGTGGAGGTATATGCGAACGCGACGATCCATCCCAACTCACCCATTAACAGTGACCTTTTACTGGATCAGAATGGAGCTCACATCTACATCATGACTAAAACTGCTGTAAGTATACAAAAAATCCAGTTGGGGCGGTTTTTGGATGGTTGTAGGTTTCGTGTGTTTTATGCTTAGAAATAGTCAACAGATGCATAAACAGCCGCAGCCTTTATGGTGAGCCTCCCCATTCAGCCGCTCACCCAGATGTCTCCATACACGAGACCGAACATGGCCTGTCATTCATTGTCACACAATTTATCGTTTGTCAGAGTTTTTCAGGCTTTTATACTTCCTCAAGCTGTGTCTCTCTCTCTCTCTCTCGCTGCAAAAAAAAAAAAAGAGTATAAAAGAACGAGAGGCAAAGAGTTTTAAAGAAAACAGAGAGGACAGCTGGCCGCTCAGGTCAGAGGTCGCTAACCCCACTGTGATAGGTACAACACTCAGCAGGAGGCGTGGGTCGGACACAACAATGGTATTGATCAGGGAAAGTGGCCTCCATTGTGTCGGCACGCTCCCTACAGAGTGTCTGTGTGGGTAGCTGTAGATGCTGATAAATGGATATGGGAAACTGTGAGTCTATACACTGAATAGCTTGTGTCAGTCCTGGATCACTGAACACCACCGTCTGAGTGTGGAGCTGATCTTTGAGTTACGCTTAACACGCATATCTCAGCGGCGGCGGCAGCAGGCTGAGCAGGGCATCGAAGGCATCCCTCTCCTTAGCAAAGCATTCCAGCTCCGCCTGGATACCAAGACATTCCAAAGCCATGTGAGATATGTACTTCCAACAGATTTCAGCGTCTACACAGCATCTCGCTTGGACGTGCGGCATCCTTATCGGTAAACCCAGTCACCCCACGAAGGAAACTCATATCGCATATTTCAGTCATTACCTAGACTTCTCGGTAACAGGTGAGGGTTGGAACATAGATTGACCGGTAAGTCGAGAGGCTCAGCGCCTTCCTTACCACAACAGTCAAATACGACACCATCATCACTGCCGACACTGCAACAGTCCGTCTGTCTACCTCATGCTCCGTTTTCATGTCTTTTGTTTGAAATTGGAAGGTTAGCTAATGTCAAGCTAACTTACGATGATTACTCAAAGAGACTCCTGATGAAAATGAATCTTTTGGCTAACTTGGATGCAATAACATCCATCCATCCATCATCTATACGCCGCTTAATCCTCACTAGGGTCGCGGGGGGGCTGGAGCCTATCCCAGCCGACTTAGGGCGAAGGCAGGGGACACCCTGGACAGGTCACCAGTCACATTCACACCTACGGACAATTTAGAATCACCAATTAACCTCAACATGTTTTTGGACTGTGTGGGAGGAAGCCGGAGAACCCGGAGAGAACCCACACTGCACGGGGAGAACATGCAAACTCCACGCAGAAAGATTCCGGTGCCCCCACTGGGATGCGAACCGGCGACCTTCTTGCTGCGAGGCAACAGTGCTACCAACTGCGCCAGATACAATAACATGATTAATGAAATCATAAAATAAAATAAAAAAGAAGAAAAATCATCTATTACCCAAGTTAAGCTCACATACTGAAAGAGGCAAGACATGCAATGTGATGGAAAATAATACTTTCATTAGTGGCTATAAAAAATCTCACTTAAAAAAAAAAGTGTATGATAGATTTCAAATGCTCTTAACAGGCTCTTCACAATGTGGCACAGTAATATCAAAGCAATGCTCCGTCAGCGTACTCAGTCAGCGCGTAAGTCGACGTTATGACATTGTGGTTGGCGATCAAACGATATCCAACGCACTCTGGGGTAAGTTAAGAGTCTTTTGTGAGGCCTTGTGCCTTTATAAAGGAGTCATATTTCTTTGACCACAAAGTTATTGACTAACACACTGTCTGAGTGCACCGAGGAACCATATGCGGAAAGGGTTCGGTCAGTGTGATGCAGCAGCCCTTTATTTGTTTACTGCTGCATTAATGTATGCTTCATTACATACAGTAGTCTATTAGACAGTAGCGCTTCTGGAATCGACCCATTTCACAACTTTTCATGCTAATCCTCGCTTGTGTGTCATTTTCAGGTAGAGAAGCGTCCAGTGGCAGAATGTGGAGACCACTTGGACTGTCAGTCATGTCTGTCCGCCAAGGACCCCTACTGTGGTTGGTGCGTCCTGGAGGGACGGTGAGTCACAAAGAAGAAGAAGAAGAAGAAAAAGCGTCTTCACTGCTCCTTGCTTCCTCTTTCTCACCTGTAACATTTTTGCTGGTATTTCAGTTGTGGCCAGCGGTGGGAGTGCCAGCGAGGGTCCGTGCAGGGTCAGTGGTTGTGGAGTTTCAACCAGACACAGCAGTGCCTCAGCATCCAGCACCTCAGCCTCTACAACATCAGCCTCGGGGAGAAAATTGATGTAATACAGGGGAGAGAGTGGGCAGCGAATAGGAGCCATGCACTAGAATATTTTACAATATGACAGCAGTAAAAAAAAATAAAAAATTAGATCCACCCAGCTCACACATTGGAATTTTAGTCCGACGAGATCTTAAGATAACCCTTTAGTGGGTAGAGTTGAAATGCAACTTGAACGCTTGTGTTTTTCCTGTCTCATGCCTCTCTTTGTCCATTCAGATCGCAGTGTCAGTAGAGGGCCTCCCCAGTCTGAAACAAAGCGAGGCCTACTCCTGCTTCTTCCACGACACAGAAACTCCTGCCTTGCTCACTACCACTGGTGTTATATGCGCTACCCCTGATGACAGCACTCTACCCCCCATTGGCCACGGAGATGGTGAGTTTCCAGTTAGCAATTGTACCCGATCGGTCCATTTTTTTCATGACATGCAAAAGATGCTAAAGAAGACAGCAACTATCATTTTTTTTATACTTTCACGGGAGTTGAAGTCATAGAACGTGTAGAAAATGTCAAAGCAGCTTGTAAGAATAACACGGATATCGATCAGATAATTTTAAGTTGACTTACATCCCGACAACTCGTTTGCTCTGATCCAGAGTTCGTCATGGTGACGCTTTCACTGCGTTTCATAAACGTGACGGTAGCAGAGACAGAGTTCACCTTCTACAACTGCAGCTTGGTCCAGCAGCTGTCTGGACGCAGGCCGTGAGTACACACACACACACACACACACACACACATCAAATCTAATCAAGAAAATATAATATGTGTCAGCAGATCTGCTAAGTTGTTTTCAGCTTGTAATCTTTGAAAGAATATCAATTTTCACATTAGATGTCTGACTCAGACTGGTTAGATCAGGAGCCTGACTGTACAGCGAGGCACACATACACACAGTAGTTGTGACTGATTCAAGATATCCCAAACATATGTAATAATAATAATAATAATAATAATAATAATAATAATAATAATAATAATAATAATAATACATTTTATTTGTAGAGCGATTTTCACAAACTCAAAGACGCTTTACATGTTAAAAATAAAAACAAAACAAATAGAAAAAAAAGCAAATACAAGTATACAGAATAAGTTCAACTAAAGAAAACAGAAAAAACAGTTGGAAAAGCAAAAAAATAAATAAATAAATAAAAAGAAAGTAAATAAAATACTGTGAAAAATGTGTGTTTGTTTATTTTTCTGCTGTAGTTTAACACCTATGACTATCAAGTGAATATTACTGAGCATCATTCTTTAGTGAAAGGAACAGCCAGTGTAGATAATACGGTGTTAATGCACCGGAGAATGGATGACTATTGTCAGAGTCATCAGAAGGGCTTTCTTTATTGTCAGAGTTTTTTTTTAGTTTTTTTAATCATCATGACTCCTTGTCTTGTCCCGCCATGTGCTCTGCCAGATGCCAAGGGTGTGTTAGCAGCCGCTGGGGGTGTAACTGGTGTATTCACCAGCATGTCTGCACACATAAACACACCTGCAGCCAAGGAGTCACCATCTACAACCAAAACGTGAGTAAACATTAAACCTGAGAAGAAAAAAAGCTTTTAACTATATTGAGAAACGGTGAAATTCAGATGGATTCAAGCAGCTGTTATATGGATTAGCTTTGTTTTGCCCACTGGCTTATATCTGACTATGCAGGTTATGTCCATTTGTTGTGTTTGTGCTTTATTTGCATATTTATTTGTTTTTTTTTAATCATGATTTTGTTTTATGTCACTCCTAAGTTGCTTCTTCATATTTCTGCATACCCTTGTGTTTTATCCTAATTTTGTCTTCCCCATGCTTTTTTTTTTCTTGTCTCCATTTGTTCACTACTCTATCATCAAGTTCAAACCGCAAACCCCCACCATCCCACCACCCACCAGAACACCGACCCCTTCACCTCCTGCTGTCCCGACTGCTCCAACAACAACAACAACAACAACAACAGCCACTACAACAACACAGCCACCACCCACAGAGAAATCTGCCCCCACCACAACAGCTGTCCCCTCAACTACCACCACAGTGACACCACCCACCACCCCTCATGTCGAGCCCACCACACCAATTACCCTCGCCACAACTCCCCCCTTTGTCGGGATCCCAACCCAGGCCGCCACTGTACGCGCCGATGTCACCGCCACAGGGCTCTCTGATGCGGAGGGGATAACAAAGGGAACTGGCGGTACAACAAGAGGCTTTCCAAAGCATGAGGACACCTTAAATATCACTGACGAAACTCAACACATTACATTACCCAGCAGCACTAGTGCCCAGCCAGACTCTCTTTTGAGATTTTTAGAGCCATCTGGTGAAGCAACAGGCTCTTCCTCTGAAATGAGCACCACAACTTCCAGAGAAGTGCCGCTCTTAGTAGACCTTCCCGGCAGTGACGACAAGGAACCCGTTCCCGTGGCCACTTCTGAGGAGAATGATTCACCTTCCTGGCAGAATAGGTGGGAGAACCCAGAGGGAAAGGTGGAGTCAGCAACGGATTCAGCTGCTGTTCAGTCGTTTGTCTTTACGCAATCACCTGATACAGTTATTGGCTTCGATTCTGAATCTGCGACAAACTCACAATCTGACTCTTCGGCTGACTCTTACTTCCGGGTGAGTGTAAGAAGCCAGCTCCAATCAACTAGAAAAACTGTCTAAATGAATAGACGTTTTTAGGAGGACTAGATTGATACCACTCTTATATCTGTCTGTCTGATGTGAAGCTACAGTTAGAAGACAGTTTGCTTAGCTTCCGATAAAGCCTGGAAGAAGGGCCCAAACAGCTCATGTGGCTAAAGTTGTCCAAACATACCAAAATCTACCTACCGATGCATCACAAGTTACTACTTACGTTGGGTTAATATGCTCAAGAGAGCAAGTCCAGCTGTTTATAATACTTCTAATATTTCTGATAAGCTGAATCAACGTTTGTCTTCAAAACTTCACGTTTGACAGACAGATTTGGGAAGGTGTTGATTCTCTCATTTAACTCCCAACAATTATTACTAGGTTTTATCTTCCCATCCACCGGCTCCATATCATTGCTGATCACCTCATTTAGTTCAAACACCATATAATGATAATCGTTTGCTAACCCAGGACATGTCCTACAAGCTCATGAATCGGTACATCTCGGCTCATCCTTTAAGAAGTCAGTTCCCTCTTTGTTGTTTATTTGTACGTCTTATGTTTCATTGCTGGAATTTGTATTTGTTTTGGCTGTTGTCTATGCATTTTTTATTATTTTTCGATTGCATTTTGAGGGTAAGATTGAATATTTTGAGCGTTTATGAAATAGGATTCACTTTTCCTTGATAACATCTAATTCAAAGATGAGTTCAGTCTAACAGAATATCTCCTAAGCACGGGAAACGCTATGATTAAGAGTATTTGGGCTATTTCACTTTTAGCGGCGACTATCCGATGAGAAAATCTCAGTTTGGTGGATGCAAGGGACATGCTGTCCTGTAGTGCTTTGTGTGACGAAACCGCTTTAGGCATCTTTGGTAAGACTTGAGGGGAGTACTATGAAGCAAGATTCACGAGTTATTGAGGTATATTGAGTCTAAAGCCAGGGTTTTCAATTTCATGAAAGTCTTAGCCTGCTAGCGTTTGTTATATTGACTGTAAGAAGTGCCACTCTTTCACTGATTCTTGTTGCCACCATATTTGCTGTGAATGATGCAGATTCTCAGCTGAGGGAATATGTTAAATCTGCAAACCTGTAGAGCTGTCCTCTGCCACTGGATGAAGCTGTGCAGTTGCAGTAGGCAAGTTGTTTCGCAGAAAATGCTAGGGATGCCCCAATTAAGTTTTTTGCCCCTTAATTCGATCTGAGTCTTTTGATATTTAGTTAGTTTAGTTTGGCTAATTCTGGGTCCATGCTCTGCTGTGTGAGACCCATGAAAACGATGCATCAGAACACCAAATGTCTGTGGTAAAGCCATCTGATTAAAGACCCCATTGGCAGTCACAAACCTTGTCCAGTCCGGTGCCCCTTAAAACTGGATTGCCAATGAAAACAAAAGAAAGAAAGAAAGAATTGTGCTCTCCCTTTACAACACAAACAAAAGATTGGGTGCTCAAAAAAGCTGATACCAGTCTTGATTGGCAAGTTACATTCCTAGAAAAAGGAGAAATACCTTTTTATACGTGATCCTGGTTTGCTGGCGAGTCCATCTTACACTACTTTAGCTGCAGCTAATACGACACAGATCAGAAAAATAATCCATCTGTTGGTACTTACCACAGATAATATACAATTAATAGCATTAATTTCAGTCTGGTTTGGCCAAAAACTAAAGCAATTCCCACATATCCTGCATTATGAGACAGTGCCAGACCTTAATGCAATTTGTGAGTATCATATTTTAATGTATGAAGTTTAAAGGTTAAGAGCTCTAATGTGCTCATTAGAAAGAAATGTTAAGAGTGTACTGAGTGGGAAAATATATTAACTTACACCATTAACAACTTTCCACCAGTATTCCTCTTTTGCATCCATTGCAGCTGCAGTGCTTTTTAACATACTTTTAGATTCCTTGTAGCTCTACATTATACCAACCTGTTCCTCTTCACTAAAGTGAAGGCACACCATCGGTCCATTTTCTGCAAAAGAAGTGTCAAATTAATCATCCCCATTTTTTTGGAGCCTGATAAAGAAACTGGTACTGCCGTAATGCCCATTATCTCAGATTGGAGCTTTGGGTTTTGTCAAGCTGACTAATGACTTGCTTTGTAGTACAACCCTCTGGAATGTGAGCCAGGCTTAATTGCACAACAGCAGCACCTAAACTTTGAAGTCGTTGGAAGTTCGTCTCAGACGAGAGACGTCTGTCTTGGCGGCATGGAAAAGCGTGGGATTATTAAATAATTGTTCACGGAGCAAGCGACTGCATAGCGTTGGAGATGTAAATTTTGACCAGAATCCACATGTAGGTCTGCGTTCCCTATGTGTAGATGTTTCCCATAATGCTTTCATAATTGTCATCAGGAATGCCCGTGTGTGGAGAAAGTGCAAGATTCTTCTCTCCTCCCGGTCAATGTGGAGCGGAAGATCACGCTGGTGGGACAACACCTCAACCTCTTTCAGGTAATGTAGTAAGACCGGTTATTTAAATTCTCTTTGAATATGAAAATAAACGTGGTTCATACAGGACGTCAGTTTTACAAAGCATGGGGCTGGGATTTGTTTAATTCTTCCCTGAAGGCAAGTCTTTTGTTGAAGCCTTTGTGGTGACATGCTTCTACTTTGATGGTACTAGATAAAGGGTTGACTGATTATTGAATGCATTATCGGTACTGTTAGTTTGTTAAAACTTATCCCTGATCAAATAAATTCATTTAAAATATGCTATTTTGGCTCTGATGCAGGTGTCTCTCTCTCAATCTGTGGTCACCACTTACACAATGCCCTGCTCACGATGCCATCTGGATATTTGCATGTTACGAGCAGTCGTCAATCAACACCGAATGACAAATGTTGAAAAGTTTTCTTTTAATCAACCACTAGTGCTTGCTTTCAGATGTGCTACAGACAGACACACACACACTGAGTTTGCAGACAGAGATTCCTTTTACAGTCTTTGCGTTTGATCTGTGACATCATACATTTCCCTTTTGATGATGTTGCGTAGCAACAGGGACTCCCAACTCCCAGGCACCCAAAGGCCACGGCGAAGGTCCCATCTGATCTACTTCAAACTCGACCACACTTGCTTAGGTCACCGGCAACGCACCCACCGAGTTTGAAGTGGATTAGATGTATGGTTGTTGAAGAACAGACACACACACACACACACACACGTTTCTTGAATCACAGCTACATACAGAAAACTAAAAGGCACATAGACAAGCTTAGCATTATGTGAGTTTGTACCAATCTAAAGTTGGACACTGACGCGCAAATTTAAGTTTTACTGCAAATGTATATAGTTCCCAACATCGGTTAGCGATCTCCTTGATTTCTAGTAAGTGTCAGCCCTGAAAAAGAAAAATATCAAAACATTTGTGATGTACTGTAATGTGTGTATGTACGGACAGTGCTGAACAAGTTTACTCAGCTCTCGATGTTTTAACGTTTTGAACATGAATGAGGAATTTCAAACTGAATTCACATTTTTATACCCAAATCTGAGCCACTGGGCTTCTCTGAGAAGTTGGGAATTAATCAAACACAACATTCAACCACTAAAACTAACATTTCTGCTCAGGAATGCAAATAAACAACTATAATTTGACATCGTAGTCAAGAAATGACAATGGACATTACTGTTTTTTCTGTTTTTTGTAAAATAGTAAATTAGAAAATTCATGGATAACAATAATAATAATTATATTTTAGCATTACAAATATTATTTGGGTTAAAGAGCTTCTACATTCTGGTGTATTAACCATTACAGAAGCATAAAAAATGATTCTGGTAATTACCAATGCTGTTAATTTAGGGCAGCTGTGGCATAAACATTACAATGGGTGGTGGTCTAATTCATTTATTAAGCGCTGTATGTTGTGTGTACGTTCAGGATGAGAATTTGGACTACGAGTGTGTGCTGGACATTGAGAAACAGTCGGTGGTGGTGGAGGCCTCGGTGGAGCTGGATGCCACGCAGTCATCAGTCTTCTTCATCACCTGTCAGCCGCACCAGGTCAGAAACGAGCACTTTTACATTCTGGAAATAATGTCGGGGACGTTCCACAGTGTATGCTTTCAAACGGGTGTGTTTTACTTATGATTCTAGGTATCTTGATACATGTACATTTTTTAGCTGCAATTAGGACGGTTAATTTGTCTGTGAAGATTCTCAGTCATCCAGGTCATGGTTGTTCTCGTAGATTACTCGTAGCAACTGGACTTGCTTGAGTTCCTTGAAGACGTTCCACCTCTCATCCAAGAGGCTTCATCAGTTCTGACTGACGAGTTGGGAGTTCCAGATACTTATATCCTTAAGGAGCCATTGACACTTGAGTTCTGAGGCCAGCTGAAACCAAAACTCAGGTGTTAATGGCTCCTTAGGATATCTGGAACTCCCAACTAGTCAGTCAGAAGCCTCTTGGATGAGAGGTGGAACGTCTTCAAGAAACTCCAGCAAGTCCAGTTGCTACGACTAATCTATGAGACGGTTAATACGTTGGTCATTGTTCTCTGACTTTCAACGGATCGCTGAAGTTTGCACTCCCCTCTCTGTGCCTGCCAGGCCCACGCCCACCACCCAGATCTGCTTCCACCAGTAGAACTGTTTTGGAACTTTACGCTTTGATAGCAAACGCTCAATTTTTAATAAGCTTTCGACGACTAATTTGAGTCACTGTTGTGCCGCAGCGCAAGAATTAAAACTCCTCTGATTTTCTCAGTCATGCTATTTAAAAATAGATGCAAATCCCTCCTAATCAACAAAACACAGCCAACCCCATGGCGTACCAATAAACTAGCGGCGGCCCGCGTGAACAATAATCAATAAACTGCCGTCTCCTGATTGTCTCCTTTTGTGTTTGCATGAATGTGTTTTATTAGCTCTGGTAAGCAGATAATTTGACACATACTGGAACTGCTTTGCACGTGACTTTGCATAACATCAGCTCATGTGGCGCTTAATGCTGTTTTGACTGCTAACTGCTCTTCTTGTTTCAGTATGCGTATTCTGTCTCAGTGGAGGAATACCCAGCCACGATTAACGTGCGCAGGAAAAACAACTTCCACATCGACAGTGCCGAGGATCTGTATGGTGGGTGTGATTGATGCGCCGCTGATGTGTCTCTTTGTGTGTGTGCGAGAACTTACAGTATTTGTGTCTGAGAGGATCTGTTTACATACAGCAGTGGGTGTTCCTTCAATAAAATACCGTCTTCCCTCTCTGGCTTCAGTGACTCTGTTCAACTGTTCGGTGGGACGGTCGGACTGCAGTCGATGTCGTACTGCCGACCCAAAGTACGGCTGCGTTTGGTGCGGTGGTGCCGCCAGCTCTCGCTGCGTTTACCAGGACTCCTGCACCGATGAGATCAAACACACCTGCCCTGCTCCAGTCATTCACTTTGTAAGATTCCTTGACCTTCTTTTGAATGCTTTCAGGAGGCTTGTTTGAAGGACAAAGGGAAAGAAAGGGACTGGAAAGTGATTTGTTTTAAATTTATTTATTTTTTGGCCATTTGCGCTAAAAATTAGCATTCTGGGAAAAGCAACTTGTGTTTATTTGCAGTGCGATGTGAATTCTCATCTTGTTTTGGACAGATTTTTGTGTGGTCTGCTGTCACTCCCGTCTGACAGTCTGCACAGGCTCTGTGTGTGACAGCTCACACTAGCTCATTTGCACACTTATCAGGAGCTCTTTTGTCTGATTTTCTTTGTTATTTACTCAATGTGGATGTCTAAAGATTCTCCACTCGTCTTGTTTTAAGACATAAAAATACTCAGCTTGGATAATAACGTTGGTCTCCTTTTTTTTATTCTTTGATTTATTATTACATAAATACTGACATTTTTAAAATAAATCTATTCATTTTCCTTCACTGAAAAATCAATGAACTTTGAGGTTTTGAGTTTTCAAATATAAATATGTATGTATATATATATATACACACCAATGTAGTGTGCTTTTTTCAGTGGAGAATTTTTATCCTCATTCTGCTTTTAATAGCCTTTTTTTCGTAGATATTTTATAAATATTAAAATAAATAAATTATTTAATATATGTATATATTATTTAATATATATATATTTTATCAAGCATGTTTTCTCTTTATTAGTGGACAGGTAAAGCAATGACAAGGGACTAAGGAAATGTAAATTTTGCTAATTTTTTGATGGGTACCATTGAGTATTGTAATCATTAAACACTGATGCTTATTACGTTCTTTATTTGTTGTGATTTTTAATGTAAAATCCTACTCGGCAAAGTAACCTAAGATGTCAGTTAAATGTATCTGAGTAAAAAGTCCAATACTTAACTTTGGACATTAGTATAGTCTGATATAGAGTCATATTAAATAGAGATACTACAGCCTTAAATTTGTCCTCAAGCACAGTACAGAAGTTAATTCATAGTTGTATAAGAGGCTTAACGTATTTGTATTCGCTTAACTGATTTGAAATTGGAGTTTGTGACGGTACTCCATTGAGCTGTCTGTGTCTTTTTACAACCCTACAAGACACCCATTTTTATATCTCACTGTTGTGGCATGAGCCGTATATCAGCCTGGTACTTTCAGACTGGCTGCGTGTTCACTGTCATCACACAGGATATACATCTTTCTCTTGGTTCTTGCGTTTCAGTTGGACCCAGTCTCCGGTCCTGTAGAAGGGGGGACGGTTGTGACTATTTCTGGCTCCAACCTCGGCCAGAGAGCTGAAGACATCCAGAACTCAGTGACGGTGGCGGGTGTGCCCTGCAGCGTCATCCACAGCAGATATGAAGTCTCCTCGAGGCAAGTCATGGGTGCACTGCAACATAGCTGTAAAATCCACTATACGCTCTTCACCTCTTCTGATTGTGAAAATGTGCCGGCTGTGATGTGCAGGATCGTGTGTGAGACGACCAGCAGCAGAGGGGAGAAGAGCGGCCAGGCCTCGGTGAAAGTGAGGGGAGGAGGACTCGGACTGTCGGCTCAGATCTTCAGCTTCCAGGTAAACGCAGCAGCAGCCACAAATCCACACGAGAAGAAACCAGGTTACCAGGTAGCCTTGTATCCATGCAGAAGTGTTGGTACACTTCTATCCTCACTGCACACGTATGCTTCACAAAATGTTCAACTGCTTTAGACTTTCTTTCCTCTTGTTTGTCACAGGAATACTTTTGCTGTCAGAATTTGTTTTCGTACACACATGTGCAAAAATGAGTTTAGGAATGATGCGTCTCAGCAGACAAATCTGTCTCTCTAATCATCTGCCCCAGTTATGGAAACTGGTTAACTTGCACACGCCGTTAAATCAAATGCAACCCACTTACTTAAGTGCCCATAAACACGCTGATAATCTGCAGAAACTCCTGCAAACGCTGTGCAACGATGCAGAAGCAATTAAACAAGCGTTTTTAAAAACAAAGGCATCTCTTGGGCATTTTCACACCCAGTTCAAAGGCAGCAGTTATTTTGGATTCTGGCGTGTTTCCCCCCTGAGTTCGCTTCAGCTGCGTATCTGAGAACACAGTAATCGCTCTTGGGTGGGGACCAGAACAGACGGACCAAGACCTCGCTGAGAGGGGAATCCCTCGGTGCCGTTTGAAACCAACGCTGGAGGGCCTCATTTGGAGAGTGTGGTACAAGCGTGATCTGTCAGGGATCGAACGCAGCATCAGGAAGAATCGTACACAAATGCTGCTGTTTGTTCAAGAAAAATAAGGATTATCTTACATAAGATTTCTGGAAAAAGCAACCCCCGCGTGGCTTTTGTTAATTCCGGTTCTCTTGAAAGCAAGCCCTGTGACTTATAAGTGAGCCACTGCAATACAGCAAAGTAGTTCGTCTGCTTATTAACATACCAGTAAAAGGACTGTCTGTTTGTCAGCAGCCTTAATTAATTGGCTCAAGTGACAAGCAGATTAATTGTTACACCGGCTGGCTGTGAGGCAGCCTTCGACTGATTCCCAGAATGCCCCAGCGTTGCTTTTTTATCTTCCCAATAAATCACCAGCTCAGTATCAGATTATTGATTTGACGTTTTTTCTTCTTCTTCTTCTTCTTCTTTGTCTCATGCATCTTTGCGTCTCACGCTTTGTCTCCTTTCATTCTCCTCACTTCTCCATCTGCAGAATCCCATACTCAACAGCATCTTCCCCCAAAGAGGGCCGAAGGCAGGGGGCTCGTCTCTCACCATCAGAGGCCGCAGACTGAGGACTGGACATCCAAGTGAAGTCAGCGTCCTAATCGGTGGAGTGCCTTGCCAGGTGTAAGCATCTCAGAAAAACAGTTCTGTCCATGTACACCAACAGTGCACCTGATTTCTGTGACTGATTGTGGAATAAATGTCCAGCATGAGGGTTAAGATGTCTAATGTCGTCCTCTGCTCAGGCTGAACATCCAGGACGATCACATCAGCTGTCGGACCAGAGGCAGCAACAGAACCGGAGAGCACGGCATCACTGTGCGGTTCGGTGGTGCAGAGCGCCATCTGCAGGGTTTGGTGTATCATTACACCCCCAACCCGAACATCACAAAGGCTGCGCCGTCCAAAAGCTTCTTCAGGTGCGCTGCAAACATTTACTAGGAGTAAAATACTACTTTGCAGTTAAAGATGGGACAGTAAATGTTGTTAAAGGCCTTAAAAATATGGTGTATGTTTGATTAAACTGCTGAGCAGTACATTTTTTGAACATTCTGCTTAGAGAATTGCACAAGTAATTCATACATGATTCATTATGATAAGGGCCATGGCACTGAAGTTTGAAATAAAGTTTTTACCATAGACTGTATAAAAGATGGACGTAGAAACCGGCCCTGAAAAATGAAGCCAACCCGGAAGTGTCAAAAACCTGTAATATCACTACGTCCGCTAGTCCTGGCTCCAAAAAGCCCTGGCTCCCATAGAAATGAATTGGAAACGAAGTGATCACAGATCACGAAATGCTGCATTCCTACAACTTAGGATTTTTTAAAAATTAGTTTTCATGGTCAAGTCCAGAGATCAGGTGGCCAATCTGAAAATAAATCAATACTGAATTTTTAAAAAATCGTCAACATTTTGCGGGGCAAGGGGCGTGGCTGGCTTGATTGACAGTCGGCAGCGACCGTACAGAAGAAGCAAGCAGAAGGCGGTAAATGTGGGCGGGCAGAGAGGGCCCGCCTCTCAATCCGTCTGACCAATCGCTGCTCCTATGGCTCCGCCCCCCTCCGACGATTTTTGCGTCACTGACTCCAAAAATCCAAGATGTCAACCAGGAAGTAGCAAAACCCTGGCTTCATTTTCTCAGTGCAGAAACCAACGGGTAACATCACGGTAGCTACGTCCATCTTTTATACAGTCTATGGTTTTTACAGTGTGGTATTGCTGGTCACAGATACCAATCATGTTCTTTCTCACCACTTTCTCCTGCAGTGGAGGCAGAATCATCAAAGTTTCTGGTCAGAACCTGGATGTGGTCCAGGAGCCAAAAATGAGGGTCACCCTCAGTCCTCCTGACACCCTCCCTCCCAGGAGGAGAAGGAGCATCAATAGGAAGACTAAAGGGAGCCTGAGCAGAAAACTGGATCACCAGGGTCCACTGAAGAGATGGAGGAGGATTGTTCCAGAGGCCGACTGCCCTGAGGGGACACTCTGTCATGTCAAACAGGTGCGTTTATGGCATTTCACTGGAAAAGAGATGTGTTCATGTTCAGCGTGCATGTTTTAAAATAATAACAGTCTGTGGTGGTCATATCATTCTTTCTAATGCACGTAATTCAAGGTTCCCATGTGTCCTGGAAAAACTTTTTAGAGATGCTTTCCAGTCCTGGAAAACCCCTGGAAATAGAAAGAAATAGTAAAATGTCTTGAAAACCACTGAGTTGTTGGGAAAAATATGTTTTAAAGAGAGAGAGAGAGAGAGAGAGAGAGAGAGCGATCTGTAAAACAGCTTGTGGCTGAAGTGATACTCAGAGATCAGATGAAGTTAGGAAGGCAGGGTGACAGTTTACGAGCTGAACACTCTGAAGGCCTCACAGTGCTGCATGTTTTATTGCACCCTGAATCTTGTAACGGTAATGAAGACAGCAGATGGTTTCTGTATTCAAAAACAAAAAAAGAAAGAAGATCAAATCCTTACTGAAATGTAGGCAGACAGATGTGAGCGATCTGATGCCTCAAATGCTGACGTTAGCGGCCTGGTTAGATATTTCACTTTTAAGCATTTTTATTATTTCATGCACCTGCAAAATTATTGTTTTCACAGCTTGTAGTTGTGTAAACAAAAACACATCACTAATATTACGTTAGCTCTTATTCCATAACATGTGACAATAGAGAGGATTCACAATTTGGCATTTATTAAGTAGAATTTTGAGGAAAAACTTAAGAGCCAACATTGAGCAACCATTTTTTTCCCCACCTACCTTTGCGAAAGGGATTTAAAGTCTTGATGTTGTTCAGTACCTGCTGTTATCGATGAAACACTGCCATACAGATGTATCAGAGTCAGTTAACGGTGATTCATGCTACATATCTTGCCTTCAATCCATGACATTGTGCATCTGACTTTGCCTAACAAGAGGGGCATCACCCAAAGGTTGCCAAAGGCCTAAAAGACCCTCCAAACCAGCCACTGTTGATACAGTCAGCTTCAAAATCTACACTGTACTTCCTCAGGTCTACAGCAGTACACTGACTAAAGTTTTAATTGGATTAGGAGTACAGTTGTAGAGAAAAACAAAGAACAGACAAGACAAAAGTTATCCACACAGCAGTAAATCAGACCTCGTCTTAAACAGAAGAAAGGATTCACCAACCTCAAAATTGTCTTTAAACTCAATCTATGGAGTTTTTAATCCATTTAAGGTTTGAAAGGCAGGTTTAAACAGACTTGAACTGGAATATCCTTAAATCGTTTAACAGCATAACGTGGATCAAAAATCAGAGATTTGCTATATTACCTTGCAAGAATTGTCAAAATGTTTACATTTTAGAAATCAGGCTACTTATCTTTGTTGTTTTCATGTAGCTGTCCACATGATTCTAAAGAAAAGAGAAGCTACATAAACAGTTGTTGTTCTGTATTTGCAGAGCCACAGGTGAACACATTCAGCACTGTGCAGAGGTTTTAGGAACTAAATGTGATGTGAGGATTTGCTTTGTTTTCTTACTGCTGTCAACAGAAAAAAAAAAAAGATCAGACGTATGATTTTACCATCTTTTGCTTTTCAAACTGCACCAGTTCTCCCCTAAACACTTGCACAAAGTTTTTCATGACACTTGAAGCGTACAGGTAGGTTGTTAAACTCGCCACAGATCAGGGGATTTAAACTGTCTCAGTTTCTAAGGAACTCCAGACTGAGACCATGATGTTGAGATAAAGGACTCTGTGAAGCCTAAACCACTTGTTCTTCTTGTAGCTGAAGATGCTTTCGCTCTTCATGACTTCCTTGATGTTTGGGGTTATTGTCAAATACTGTATGTTTTAAAGGAAACATCGACTGACAGCAACTTGTTAGTCGATGTCTCTTGAAAGCAACGGGGACCCTGTTAACTCCACTGTCCCTGTACCCTCCTCCAGTACGAGTCTCGCTGCACGGTGAACAGCTCCTCGCTCATCTTGTGTCCGACCCCGGCCGTGGGCCCGGAGGCCAGGAGGGCCAGGGTCAAAGTCCAGTTCCTTCTCGACAGCCTCCATTTTGACTTCAGCACCGTGGGGAACGAAGCCTTCAGCTACGAGTCCAACCCCAAGCTCTACTCGCTGAACCAGAATGACCCCAGCAAGCCATACCACCATAAACCTGGCAGCATCATCTCTGTTGAGGTGGGTACCAGTAAAGTCGAAATAATCCAACCTGACTTTCTTCTTTCTACTCTGGACGGAGTTTCTAAAGGTGTTCCACTCTTATGAAACAATCAAAAGTTGTAATAGCGCAACACAGAAATGATAATAATATAATTATGCAAACACTGTATGTCGCCTCTTCTAGGGCGAGAACCTGGATCTGGCCATCTACAAGCAGGAGGTGGAGGCTCGGATAGGGGAGGGCTTGTGCTCGGTGAAGACCCTGACACACAACCACTTGTACTGCGAACCGCCATCCCAGCAGCCCTCAGTCACAGCTAGCAAGAAGCAGGACGGCATGGACAGTCTGCCTGAGTTCACTGTGAGTACGTGATGAAAGGAACCCAGGATCTGAATTCACTTTGTTTTTGTATGATCCAACTGTACGACATTTAAGATTTGTTCCAATATGTCTTTTATTGTTTGTCTTCCCAGGTGAAAATGGGGAACCTGAACTTCTCCCTGGGCAGAGTGCAGTACGACAGCCAGGCTCAGTCTACGTTTCCTCTGGAGGCCCAGGTGGGAGTCGGGGTGGGAGCCTCCATCGTGGCTCTCATTGTGCTCATCATAGTGCTCATATACAGGTAAACGCTCCGAGATGACTCGTTCCTTGTGTTGTCAGAGCTGCGCTGCTTTTTATTTACGCACAGTTCAGTTGTGGCCTGTTTTGAAGCTGATGCAGCCACTGTTGCTGTGGTGCCATTACACAGGAAAGATCTAAACCGGTTGTGTTTTAAATGATTCAGTTGGTGTATTTGTTCAGTGCAAATAAAGCCAAACTGGAAACATCCATTCACATATCTACCTTTGGCAATCAAACTGGCTGAAATTTACAGTAGTTGTAGCATGATTTCCAGCTCTACATGCCATTTTATTCTAATATCTGTGCTATTCTACTTCTGTTAATACAGCAATGCATTATTTCTGTACCTAAATATGGTCTATGCACTGATGTTGTTTGTCAGGAGAAAGAGCAAACAGGCCATGAGGGACTACAAAAAGGTACAGATCCAGCTGGAGAACCTGGAGACCAGTGTGAGAGACCGCTGTAAGAAGGAGTTCACAGGTACAGTCCGCTTTATGTTGCAAACTAAACTATAACACCTCAAAACAAAACAAAAAAATACTCAAACCGAGGCCTGTTTTCCGCTTTCAGACTTGATGACAGAGATGATGGACATGTCCAGTGATTTGGTGGGTTCGGGGATTCCGTTCCTGGATTACCGGGCGTACGCCGAGCGCATTTTCTTCCCGGGCCACCAGGAGTCGCCACTGAGACGAGACCTGGACGTTCCGGAGAGTCGAAGGCAGACGGTGGAGCAAGGGCTGGTTCAGCTGTCCAACCTGCTCAACAGCAAACTGTTTCTCACCAAGGTCAGCCAACCCGCTCATGACAGACTGAATAAATGATTTGCTCTAAGTGCGTAGTTGTCCGGGCATGAAGTGGAGAGCCGGTAAGCACCATCTTGGGAACAGTTTGTTACTGCCAAAGAACAGGAACCACAAATCGATATTTTTCAGCCTCGCTTATTACTGTTGGTTTAACATCCTCAAGCAAATTGCATTAAATATGTAATATGTATGTACATTTTTTTCTTTTTGTTTTGAAGATATAATGCTGACTTCCTGGCTATTTTTCAGATGAAGCAACTTTATGTCACGTCTTTTCCCTGTTTTCTCTACAGTTTATTCACACACTTGAGGTCCAGCGGACGTTTTCTCCGAGGGACCGGGCCTACGTAGCCTCTCTGCTGACCGTAGCCCTGCACGGTAAACTGGAGTACTTCACAGACATCCTGAAGACACTTCTGAATGATCTAGTGGAGCAATATGTGGCCAAGAATCCCAAACTGATGCTGAGGAGGTGAGGGAGTTTGTCAGGTTATCCTTGATAGTGAGAAACAGACAGTTTTTTATTTTTAGCTGCGGATTGTTCATGTGTTCACTTTTCTTTTCTAGAACTGAATCTGTGGTTGAGAAGCTCTTGACAAACTGGATGTCCATTTGTCTCTTCACCTTTCTGAGGGTATGTGCTGCAGTACTTCACCCCTGACCCAATGCAAATTAGTCCTCACCTTTACCTTTACTAGTTTGCATCAGCTAAATGTCAAATCTGCCAGTATTATGGTGTTATTATCGGTGTTGGTACGTTCTTTTTTCCGATATATATGTTCCAAAAGGGAAATCAAATCAAAAGAGGTAAATTTACATTGCTTTTTTATTTATTACTGTTTCTAGTTTAAAAATATGTTTACAGTGCAAATATAAGAGGTATGGGTTCAGTGTTAGTCTAAGATGTTGTCTGCACAGTCATTATGCTTAAAATATGCAGAAAATAACCCATTATGAACAGATTGGAGGCCTTTTCTAACATGCAAATACACAATCCCACCCTCTCTCTTCACACCGTGTGTTATATTGATCATTGTTGTATTACATAGTGCACCAACAGCACTACATTTTAGATGTATTTTGTTTTATGCATATCAAATACTGTGTAAAATACATTATTCATCGTTAAAAGAATATGAGGCTTGCCCTTTAGCTAGCTATTAATCAAAACATAAAACAAATGTAGTGCAAACATTTGTCTAACCCGCTGGGATAAACACAAGAGGGAGTGTTGCTGTGTCAGCGCCGCCTGTACGTGTTGTCCAGTGTTGACATTATGACGCTTGATCTTAACCTTAACCTCACTTCTGCTCAGCAAGCCATCCGATTGGCTGCTCAACAAACCACACATAGGAACACAACGTGTAACTCCCACTTCTCTCTTAGTAGACGTTTTTATAACACAGTTTGCGTCTGATGTACACACAGATGAACACGTTTACAGATTTACTTCTTAGATCCGTGACATCATAGACTTACCTTGGATGATATTACCTGACAACAGGGGCTCCACCCAAAAACAGAAAAAGACCCGACTGTGAACCACCCAAAAAGAACCTCACAATGGCCATCGTTCATCTGATCTGCTTGCAACTCAAAAACTAGTGGATGAGATGCACAGCTGGCAAGCTATACAATTAACGTTCTGCAATTATGAATTTGCATCTGTTAAAGTCAGAAACGCTTTCCTTTCGAAACAAGTTTCACAGAAAATCCAAGTCAATGTGAGTGAAATTCCATCCATCGTTAAGGCCGGCGGTCAGTCGTAGCTGCTCAGAAATAACGGAGACCACTTGGTCTTGACGTGACTGTTCCATTAATTCATTCTTTGTGTTTGGCCAGGAATCAGCGGGGGAGTCTTTCTACATGCTGTTCAGAGCAATAAAGCACCAGGTGGACAAGGGACCTGTGGACGCTGTGACGGGAAAAGCCAAGTACACGCTGAATGACAACCGGCTGTTACGAGAGGACGTGGAGTATCGCACGCTGGTTAGAAACACACATACGTTGTTAGATGTTGGCGGCGTTTGTCCTGGAGGCAGAAGTCAACGTCTCCCACTTGTTCTTGTAGAGAATTAAGAGACATGCAGCATACTATTAGTACTAAGTTACTACAGTACTACTACTTGTTCTTATTCTTTTCCATATTTTTCATCAGCATTACTTTTTGTTCAGGTTTAATTAATGCTTTGTTAGTTAATTTTCATCCAAAGAAAGCGGAAATGTAAAATGTATTAACGACATATTGTGTTCAAGATCATAAAATCTAACTAAACAGATGCAATATAACTGAAATTAATGCAAAATTCATTGCAACTTTGTGATATATTGCACAAAGCATTACACCTTCTTGGTTGTTTTGTCTTCATAAATTCTAATTTGAATGACTAAATGATACTGCTACTTTTTATACCAACCACCATGGATAACTTCAAATACCTCCACACAGCCCCCACAAGTCGTGCATAGTGCTGTTTGTATTACAGTGCCATCGATAATCACGTTTCCTTTGCATCTGTCCAGACTCTAAACGTTGTGATGCCGGCAACTGCTGCAAGCGGAGGCACCACCACGCAGACCGTACCTGCCAAGGTGCTGGACTGTGACACCATCACCCAAGTGAAGGAGAAGCTTCTGGAACAAACCTGGAAAGGGACGTCCTTTTCCCAGAGGCCACACATAGACTCACTACATCTTGGTAAGCATAGTTTGTTTTACGGGGTCATGTTTCGTCTTCGCATCTGAAGTCAACCGTTGGTCTGATGGAGCAGGTCATCAAGTTTCATTCGACTGTAGATATTTAAACATATGAATACAAGGGTCGATCAAAAAGTTACAGGACTCTGCCTACAAAAACCAAAAGGAAAACAGACCTAAGAAACCCTAAACTTGAATGTCATCTTGGGGCAACAGTGAGACGTCACAAGGAGTCAGATCTGATCCATGTGCACCCAAATAGCAAATAAAATGTAAACTGTCTCTTGTAGGATTTGGGCTCGAAGCAACACTTCAGCAGTGTCACATGTGTCTGTTTTGTTGTATTATTGAAAATCTTTGGTCTTGAGTCTGCAACCATAAGCAAAAGCGTGAGACTACATGCAGATTTGTCCCTCCAGAGTGGCGTGCGGGTGTTGCAGGTCACCTAATCCTGTCAGATGAGGACTTGACGTCAGTCGTACAAGGCTCGTGGAAGCGCCTCAATACGCTGCAACACTACAAGGTCAGTGCGAGTCACATCAACGCCAACATATACACACAGTTCAGCCCAGCATGTGCAGAGTAAACCCCCAACTGCCCGCCAAATTAGTCTCCAGTCAAAACACATGAAGCCTTTGAAGCAGTTTTTGTTCTGCAGTGTGAAAGTTGTGATTCGACTGTTTAATGCAGGTCCCTGATGGAGCGACGGTGGCTCTAGTTCCGAGGAACAACAAACATCACCTCCACGACAGCCACGATTACATGCCTGGAGAAAGTGAGTCTTTGAATGACTTTGACTGAGTGCACACACACACACACACACACACACACACACACACACACACACACACACACACACACAGGGGATTTCAAAAATGTAGTAAGATATGGAAAAATACTTTTGTTTCATGATTTTTCATAAAGCAAATTTGCTAACTTAAGCAAGTTTAAAAGACAAAGGGGTACCCCACATAGTATTTCAGACATTCAGTGTGGCTCAAACTACTTTTTATCAATTCTTAGTGGATTTTTCTTGGTGAGTACTGAATAAAGATTCACTGTGTAAGTGTTATTTATGGCTCATGATCTGATAAAAAAAAAACCTGCACACAGCAAGAAGAAAAAGTCCTGCAAAAATGTGGCAGCAAGATGCCAGAAAAAAAAAGGAATTAAAAAAAAAAAAACTGTAATGGAAGTTTTGCCTATTTTTTGGGTGATTCAAATACAGTTAAACTGTATAATTTTACAGTTGAAAATACTGAAAGTCACCATTTGTAAAAGTACAGATTTACGTTATTCACAATTTTGGCCTGTTTTTATTATGATTAATATGAAATAATGCTTTTTTTTTTTTTCGATGATTACGCCAGTCATCCTCTGTAGTTTACCAACCAAACATGGGAAAATATATAAAATGACTGCATTTAAATAAGAAAAATTAAAGTTAAAAACTGCAAAGGGGCTTTTTTTCAGAATGTATTTTGCACCACTAAACAAGAGACAGGACTATGAGGAGCTGAAAAAAAAGGGTTGCCTTAAAAGTCCATGCAAAATGCCCAAGAGGGTGTTTTTTTTGTGTGTGTTTTTTTTTTTAATTCAGCTGCATTTTTTTTTTTTTTTTAAACCAACTTTGCTTTCACCTGCACCTCCTGGCACAATGTGCAAAATCTCCATTTTCAGATTATGGATTATTGCCCAATTTCACCTTAAAACAAACAACCATACATAAAGGACAAGTTTACAGAAATTAATAAGGAAAATGTAAAATTGGATAATTATCCCTATATTACATTTTAAAAAGAAAGAAGAAATTGAATACTGAGATGACTTTTTTTTTTCAATTTTTCTACTGTATAAGCTGATGCTGATCAGAGACACTTGTGTGGTCAGTGATTAGCTGAACAGAGTCTAAACAACCAGAAGAGGTCGCTGTTTGACTGTCTATACATGATATGATATTTTGGACTGAATAGAAGCTGAGAGTCTGTCAGAAAGGCAGCCGTGAGACAAGCAGTACTTCTCTGTAAGTGTATTTTTAGATCAAGTTAAGTTTAAATGATTATAATAATCATAGCAAACAGAAATGATTGTTGTAGTGAACAAACAGCATTAGCGTCACACAGCTCAAACACCGACATTGCCCCTGAAATGCTACATTCATCCTCACCTTCGGTCCGCTTTAATTTCCTCTCAGCTTGCTGCATCACTCACATACAAATCTCGTCTCCTCCTCCCAGAGACCCCGATGCTGGACGATGGGGAGGAAGGCGGCGTCAGGCTCTGGCATCTGGTGAAAGCCAGCGAGGAGTCGGAGCTGCCCAAGCACAGGAGAGGCAGCGTGAGGGAGAGGGGCGGGGAGAGAGCCAAAGCTATCCCCGAGATCTACCTCACCCGCCTGCTCTCCATGAAGGTAAAACCCATGACCTGGACGACGCCCATCAACGTGTCTCTTGCTCACAAAGTTTTGCACACTTTACTTTCACACACATCAGGCACATCTTTTTCATGAAGTGATCCAAAAAGAAGGTGTTCTACACAGCAACAGTATTTGGCTTCGTGTTGCCTCCAGGCAGCAAAGTAAACAACTGGGAACACCATGTTTAGTTGTTTTTTTGTTGTGGATCCTCCGCTGTAGATACACAAACATGAGGGGAGCCAGCAGCAAAGTATGAGAAGGTAAATCAAGGTGATTCGTTACAGATTCAAGATGTATTACACATGAGGGGAATCCTGAATTCTGACGTCATCACAGTGGGAAACACAGAGACATTAGAATTTGTAGGATAAGATTATACACAGACAAGGCTACCAGCACTAAACTTTAACTGCTGGGATTCCCTGATGGTCTTACTATGATATTGTTATTACACTGTAACGGCCTCGGGCTGCAAGGTGGCGCAGTTGGTAGCACTGTTGCCTCGCAGCAAGAAGGTTGCCGGTTCGCCTCCCGGTGGGAGCACCGGGATCTTTCTGCATGGAGTTTGCATGTTCTCCCCGTGCACCATGGGTTCTCTCCGGGTTCTCCGGCTTCCTCCAACACAGTCCAAAAACATGTTGAGGTTAATTGGTGATTCTAAATTGTCCGTACCGTAGGTGTGAATGTGAGTGTGCTTGGTTGTCTGTCTCTAAGTGTAGCCCTGCGACCTGTCCAGGGTGTCCTCTGCCTTCGCCTTAAGTCAGCTGGGATAGACTCCAGCTCCCCCGCGACCCTAGTGAGGATTAAGCGGTGTATAGATAATGGATGGATGTAACGGCCTCTACAATAAAAAGACTGATTTGGTTATTTAGTTAAACATGTTTCCAGGCAGATGTAGGTCCTTAATAATAATAATAATTGATCAGATTTATATAGCGCTTTTCTGGACACTCAAAGACGGTCCTTGAGAAAACAGTCTTTCTAACCTCAGATGTTTTCATCTTGAAAGCCCACACCCGTGTTTCCTTTTCTTTCTGTTACATTTCTGGTGATTCCTTGTTTGTGCGACTCACACCTTGGAACACGGCAGCCCTCTTGACCATAGATGTGTCCTATTTCGAGCGTGCATTTTCAAACCTTTGTCAGTCGTGATCCAGTGTGAGTCTACATTATTTAATGGGTATGAAATATTAATCTGCGTAATATATGTTGACCTGACACATTGTGTGGCAATTTTTCTTTTTTAAAAGGTGCAATGAACCCACTGAAAGAATGCAGCGGGCTGTGAAGTAATAAAGCACATTCAATCATAAAACCTTAATTTCTCACATGGATTCAGTGTCTTGCTGCAGAATGGTGTAAGAAACTTGTTATTGCCTTTTCATAAC